TAATTATATACTTACATAATAAAATACTTTAACATTATATATGGATAATCAAGATTTATCACTTGACTTTACATAGATAACTACATACTTTGTGTTCACATACCAACTCTTGTTGTTACATGCTGTTGAGTCACCTGTGACTCATACTGACTGATCACATAGATTCTCCTTAAAAAAATTCTTTAAAACTAAATTTACAATAAAATAGTTTTCCACAATCACTACAGAAATTTTTTTTTTAAATGTGGTAAAATTCTGGAAAAAAAAAATTGCTGTTTCAATCTTACTCCATTTTACATGTTTCTAGGACAACCAGCAGATGGCGCCAAGTATTCATGAGCAATGTAATCTGTGGGATGTTTTGTGTCTGTTAACTACAAATTACTATACATGTATTACCTTATACTCTTGGACCATTCCATTTTGTGTGTCTTCTGGAGGCGGTTGCCAAGTGACAAGAATTGCAGTTCCATTTCCATCATTCTTTGATACGGTTACACCTTGGGGCGGGGCACTGGGTGCTATTAAAATATATTTTTTTAAGTAGATTATTTTTTGTGTGTAAAGTAACATTGAAAGCACCTACTTAATATTTAAAGGTACAAACAGCTGTAAAAATTTCATAGGCTTGTTTGAAATCTATCTCATTCAAGTCTGAATATTCCCAAATTTTTCTTCAAAATTGCTAACTCAACCTCTGTCAATTTTCCAAACTACAGCTATATCATCTACTCACACAAAACATGCCAGGAAGGTCTTATTTTTCCTACCTTGTCACCTCTTCAACTCCTTAAAAATATTCAAAACAATAAAGATAAATGCTGATCACTCATGATAGTACCTACGTCCCATCATATTAAATATCAAAATGATAAGGAAATGTGACGAGAAACTCTGATTCACTGTTTTCTTCTTTAGAGTACACTTTGATGTGTAAAATTTACAGTTATATAAATACTGATTTTTAACTTCCAATTGTGGAAGGGTCAATTATTCTTTGCCTAGAACTTGGGGTTCTCAATGACATGGAACTATGGATGAAATCTACTTAAAAGGCTTGAGTAAATCAAGACACATTGCCCAATTTAAAAATCTGTTAAGCTGAAATATTTTCTTAAAATATTATAAATTAGCGAGTTTTAAAATGACAGTTCTATTTAAAAATACTGAATACTGGTTACTAACAATCAAATATAATTCTATCTATTCCACACAGGTGGTGCAACAAACATTTGCACATTCTAAGTGGTCTGTTTTTAAAGCAAGTCAAATACCCCAGTATTTTCTTTTAAAATATTTTCTCTCTAATTAAATACACCTGTTGTCAAAAAGGTCACTATCAAGTCCACTAATACTTAATGCTAGCATTAACATTTCAAGAATTTTTTAAAAAAAGCATAACGCATTATACTTGCATTATATTATTATACTACATTATACTTGCCTTCTTCCAGGGTTTTGGCAAACTTTATTTCACTATCTGCTCCCTGGAATTCATTAAAGAATGGCCGGGCCTTAATTTCATAATTGACACCCTTTTTGAGTTCGGGGATGACCACGCTATTTTTGGTTGGGGTCCTCACTTCAAAGACTAACCACTCTGCTTCACCATGGTCAGTTCCAGATGGCCGGTAGAGTATTTTATACCCTTGAATGTACTGGGACTGCTGGTCTACCTATTAATATGACAAAAAATGCAGTCATTTACAATTATTTTTATCACTGTATTTGACATCAAATAATGTTGCTAATTATATGACATATTCCATTTTCTAGTTATTATACAGAAAAGTTAATAAAAAAAGGCTGCCTGTTAAAAGGTATTTATGACTTTTAGCTTAATATGGTGTTGGTTCTTGTTATGTATCATGAAGTCAGAACTAACCCTCCAGCAAGTTTTCACAGGCTGTAAATCACACAGGAGGAGATTACTCATCTTTCTATGATGGAGCAGCTGGTGGACTTGAACCACTAGCTCTGGGTTGGCACTGTAACTCTTTACCCATGTTGTTGTTGCTAGATGCTGTCAAGTTGAGGACAACTCACAGTGACGCTATGAACAACAGATCTGAACACTATCCTGCCCCTTGCTATCCTCTCTATCTCTGATACACTTAAGACCAGTGCTGCAGCCACCATGTCAACCCATCTAGTTGAGAGTCTATTTCTCTGCCCCTATACCTTCCCAAATAACAGCCCTTACTCTTAGCAGTCTGTAATCTCCTATGCTACATGCAAAAAATAGTATCAGAGTTGCCCAGAGGCATTAGCCATAGACAAGCCAGGGTCAGGGGAAGGGCAGTGAGAGGCATTTTACTACTTTCCAACTCTAAACTTGTATCATTTAGAAACATATATTTTACTCCAATTTAAATTCTGAAATTGTTGGATGACCTTTTTGGTTATTTATTTTCACACTCTGAATTTTACTAACGTGTCAGTTTTTATAATGCTCTGAGTAAACTGTGCAGTAATGATTACCAACCAAAAATAAAAGAATTATATCTTATTTTTCCACAAATTTACGTGTTCATGATATCGTTACAAGTTATATGTTCATAGTGATTACTTGTAAATTTTATTTTCCGAGAGAGATAAAGTTATTAATGTAGCATAACAGATATTATACATAATGTTGAAACTTCCCTGCTTATAACAGGTTCACAACTACTCTAGGAAATAATGCAGAAATGGACAACAGAATGTTAAATGTTCAAATATGTATGAAGGAGTCACGCTGGCATAATGGTTAAACACTCTACAGCTAAATGAAAAGACTGGCAATTAGCCCCTACCCAGAAGTTCTGCGGGAAAAGACCAGGGGGGCGATTTTGTAATTTTTAAAGCCTAGAAAACACTTTATTCCCACTGCCACTTAGTCACTTCTGGCTTATCGTGATCCTCCACTGGGTTTTGAAGGCTGCAAATCTTTGCAGGAATAGATTGCTCATGATGCTCCTCTGAGTAGTTGGGGAATTTGAAGTTCTGACCTCTTGCTTAGGACACAGGTAACACATTAAGTCTCCATAGCCTCAGAGACTCTAAAGAGCAGTTCTACTTTGTTTCAAGGGTTACCATGAGTTGAAATGGACTAGATGGCACCCAGTAACAACAGAATACATACATATAATAGGGTATATTCCACATAAGGGCGCTCTGGCAGCTTTCTGGTGAGGTGCAGAGCTGTTAACTGAAGGCATATGGTTCAAATCCAATAGCTCCTCCTCTGTGATCTAAAGCAACTGAAAATCCTCAGGAGGGTCAGCTATTGGTCAATTCTGACCTGACGGCACATAACAGTAATACATTTTACATAATATGCAAGTATCACATATTTATTAATACTATGCATTAATGGTCTCAAAGAAGTTACCTGCTTATAAAAATCAAGATCAAATATTGTAACGAGAACTCACTGTCCAGTGCACTTCGATTGAAGAAGAGGAAAGGATGGTAGGATTGTGAAGGTGCAGGACCACATTCCCCAGCTCTCTCTGGACCTGCTTGTGGTCCACCCCTTGGCTTGTTGGTGGAACATCTGTAACAATTCAATAAGAGCCTGTCAGGGCCTCTGCAGTGCTACTTAAAGCCTGAAGGAAGGTACTGTTAAAAAAAATATCCTTTCCTCTCAAGCAACTCTAAGAAAAGAAGAATTACTGGAACTAAGAAGTCAAACTCCGAGAAAGAATAAAATAGAAACAGAGAGAAAGAACATAGGCAGCAGAACAGAAGAGAGGAGGCTAGAGCAACAGCGGCATCAGCACAGAAGCGGTGGATGGCTCTGTCTACCGCCGAGTGGTTATCCTTGTTGAGCATGGGCTGTCTGAGGTAATCCTCATAAAGGTTTGTTTTCACCTTTTGTGGTGAACTCAACTATGTCAGAAAGAAATTATTCCAAAATCACAGTCAGAAGGGATGGGCAAGAAAAAGAATGAAAGTATGATCTTGAAAAGCAAGCACAAAACCTCTTCATCTCACATGTTGTAATATGAATCTAGACTGCTCTTCAAGTAATGAATAAGTATATACATTAGTGGATAATATGGAGGATAGCAATAAAAATAAGATCCACCTCATTAGATATGTGAGAACAGAGTATTTAATACCTATTTATCTGATGTGATTGGTGCATGAGAGTAAAGATGATTTAGTAAATAAAGATGACTCGTATGTATACTCTAATCCTCAACGACTCTTCAGTCTCTCAGGAAAAAAAAGTCAAACCCAGAAATAATAATTTTTAAGAATTAATACTAAAAATACCATCTTATTCCATGATTTCTCTGGCAGAAATAAAAATGGCAGCCAATCCATTCATAAAAATTGCTAGACTCCCATGCCTATTGTAAACAATTTGGCAATAACCCAGAACATTATTTTCTAAAATTTCATAGCAGAGAGGAAAATGTAAGATGTCTAATTATACAATATGGAGAGATAGATGACTTGTTCTTTTTGGTTTTGTCTCTCTCCTCCTGAAAGAAAGAAAAAACACCTTGTCCATGCTCAGCTTTAGATTTTAAAAAAAGCTCTCTGGTACTCTCCTTTCCAACTGCCTCCCTACAATCAGAAATCCGTGTATACAATCTTTCAATCTCTGAGGAAACATTACACATTTTATGATGGGCAAACTTCTCTCATGCGATTAACTGCCTCTGAGAACCTGCTGGAAGGTCAGCCGTGGGTCTCTTCTCACTTGATGGTACACAACAACAACAACAACAATAACAACACAGCTTCTAACTATCCATAAGGTGCAACCTCTACAAATTTTGCAACTGCATATGCATTTAAAAATTGGTCTCAGGAACACAGCTTGGACTTGGTATGTGAACTTAAAATAGCAAAAGTAGCAGTTAGCACCAAGAAGCAAGTAGCACCAAGGCAGTAACACCACCACCTATCTTAGCCAACCTCTCATCTCATCTCTTATATTATGAAATTTGTCTTAAGGAAAGTGCATCCTAATTACTGTGATAAAGCTTTTGTTTTAGTTGTGACTTAAGTCAACTACGGGTGCCATGCAGAAGGTCAGTTCTTGGCTGTGGCTGTTGATAACAGGTCTGCTATCACAATGATTTACAAGTCTACAGACTTAACAAGCCCCACTGGGAAATATTACTCTGTCCTACAGAATAGCTACAGAATAGCTATGAGTCAGCCTCGACTGTACAGCAAAGGACAATTCCCATCATAGAAACATAGGCTTTGAGTCTGTCCGTTTCAATCACTTGACCAGTTTTTTCTTTGGCACCTCCATTTGGAGAAGACTCTTGTGTGGTGGATTTGTACATCGTTTTAATATTTGTTTACCTATGAATGTTGACTACAATTCACAGCAAGACAATGAGCAACAGCTTGACAAGTTACCCTATCATCATCCTTATAATTTCCATCATCCTCAAACAGCTCATGGTTGTGGTCAATTTGTCAATTTATCTTAATAAAAGCCTTCCTCTCATCCTCTACTTTACCAAGAATCTTTTCTATTACCAAAGATTGGCCTGTTCTGAAAGATATATCCAGTACATGTGAGATGAAGTTTCACCATGCCTCGATGGACCATCTTGCTTGTACTTCCTTCAAGAGAGATTTGTTTGACCTTGTGGCAGGCAGTTCCTGACAGATCCAATTCTCTTTGCCAAAAGCACAACCAAAAGATACTGATTTTTTCCTTTCATCTTCCGTATTCATTGTTTAACTTTTCAATGCATACAAAGCAATGGAAAATACCATGGCTTAGATGAGACACACGTTGGTCTTTAAACCGGCTTCCTTATTCTTTAGTGCTCTAAAGAAGTCCTTGACAAAACTGTCCAATGCAACCAGTCTTTTGATTTCTTAACTGCTGCTACCATGGGTATTGATTGTGGATCTACGTAAAATGAAATCCTTCATAAATTCTATCTTTCTTCTGTTTATCACTTTGTTTCTGACTGGCCCACCTGTGAGAATTTTTGTTTTCTGGATGTTGAGCTATAACCAGTCCTGAAGACTTTTATACTCTTCAGTAAGTACATCTAGTCTTATTCACATTTCAGAAGCAAGGTTGGGTCATCTGCATAATGTAGGCTTTTCCTCTTACTACCTCTGTACATGTTGTCCTTCAACTAGATTTTTCTCAGGTACCTGCTATCGCCAATTTAAGCATGGTCCTCAGCTGGGTTTTCTCAAGTCTAAAATGCTGTCCAAGGCTCAGACAGTGAAATGTGTTTCAGAGTTACTTCTACTCAGCAGGCTAGCTCGGTTACCTAAAGTTCAGGTAAGCATACACATTCCACATGACAGCCTTTCAGATCTGAGAAAGGCAGCTAGTCCTACTCGAATTGTATTACACACTAGATTTGTTGTGCTTATAACATGCCAGGATCCTTGAACTTCTCTTCCTCTGATACGATTTAAACCTTTTGTGTAGCTCCACCAACTATCTTCACTCTAGGCTTTTAAAAGTCTTACAAGTCTATGTGAAAACATAGCGCTCAGAACAGCACATATCCATGATGTGACCAGTTTAAAGATGGTTGGAGGGAGCTTACTTGATCCAGACATAATTCTTCTAATGCCGGCTCAGACTACATTTGTTCTTTTGGCAACTACATCACTCAGTTGGCACGGAGAGGTGTTTTAATTGACTTTAAACTCTAAAGTCTACCCTTCCCCAAACCCCAACAAACACTTCACATATATACCCTTAAGCCTAGTGTCTTCATCTATCCTTCTTCAGCTATTTTTTTTTAAACCCAAATTCAAGTACCAGACATTTTAATTTGCTCCATTAATTTTAATCTTGTTAGTGCTGGCCCATTAGTCCAATCTGTCAAGATACATTTAACTTTGATTCTCTAATTCAGCATAATACCTGTCTTTCTCAGTTTTATATTTTCAAATTTCATGAACATTCTATATTTTTAGTCCTGACACTGAAAGAAATGCAAATCCAATGAAAGAGTCTTATGACATGAAACAGAAAAAAAAAATGAGCTTTGTATAGTCATAAATTATTTAATCTTCATGAAATTATGATAAAAAATATTTTCAATCCCATTTTACAGATGAGAAAACTGGTACGCAGAGGGAGTGACCACCATTTATTTTTATGCAAATTATGTACACGTTATTGGCACTAAAATATGATAACCTGTCTGAAAGTAAGATAGTTAGCAAGCCGAGGACGTGCTGTTAGAAGTTGTCATGTCACAATTTATGCCAGTTTCACTACATTTTCAGTCTTTGAGAGACAAGGACTTATTTGAATTACTTGGAGTTATTTATTATGAGGAGTTATCTGAGTTCCACTACTGTGCATATACAAAGGTAAGTAAATTTAAAAACAAACCCCAAGAAAAACTCTCAAGTAGATTTACATTTATAAACAATATGAAATATTTCATTACTTTAAATGAGCATACTTAATACACAATGATTTATAGGATTATATGACAGAACAGTGTTGAGCAGTGTTCATACAAAAACTTGTATGCAGTTAGAGTCCACTGGATAGAGACTATTGTGTTGGGACAAAAGGTTTAGATTTATTTTACAGCTGTCACAGTTTCTGCATTCTTTACAAATGCGTATCTAATATTGAAAACCTCAAACTGCCCTAAGGCAGGCTCCAAGAATATTAAAGCTCCGGGGGAGGTGACTCATAACAGCAAACACAGGCAGGAGGGTGTGTTAAATTCATAGAGCAAGAAACAGAAGTGGGCATGTTCTACAACTCAACGCGCTTTCTCTGTGTATTCTGAAATTTAAAAGTCTTGATAGATAGATAGATAGATAGATAGATAGATAGATAGATAGATAGTAGACAGACAGACAGATAGACCATCTGGATAAGATGGCTGCCAGCCTCTCTCTAAAACCAGGTAAAAAAGTCATTTAAGCATTTGTATCATTTGTATACAATGTGCTTCTATGAAAGCACGTCTGTTACACATATTCCTTTAGGAAAGAGTAACTCAACACACAGATATTCTGATCCCTCTGTATTTTTAGAAAAGAAATCTCGTATTTCTAAGCAATATGTTCTAGAATTATTTTTTTCATTAATCAGTTTAGTAACAATGATGTATATTAATAAAAATATAAAAATTGATCTACATCAATCTCATTGTTTCAATACATAAATTTTAAGTGTGTCAGAGTCAGTGAAACTGGGTCAGGATAGGGCAGACTTCAGAGCACAGGATTGCTATGAGTCACAGGAGACTAGACAGAACATAACGACAACAAAAAATAGGGTTAGCAAGAGAATGAATAGAGGACAAAAATAATGTCTACTTAGAAAAGAAAGTAAATAAATGTGTATCTAATATGTGCTCAGAATCAAATATTCTAGACACAACGTCTTCTTTTCCTTTTTACCCAGATCTTTTCTTTAATCATACTGTAAAACTAAAAGATACTTCAATTTAAAATTTAATACATTATGGCTCACCTAACAGACCATCGAATAAGGCCCAAATAGCATAAAGACCCAAAGTACCCCTTTCATGGCTTGTAGGAAGCTGACTGGACAGACAATTAAGAACAAATTTAAGACTCTTCTAAATATTTCCTCCATTTGGCTGATTTCCAGAGAGTTTTACTTAATTATGGATATCATTCTACAAACCCATTAACAGAATTCTAAGTATTAGACTTCAACATAAAGAAAATGTACTCAGTTTTAAGTGCAATTATAATATGATTAAGAGTGCATACTCATGTGTTGCCATTTATAAATAAGAGTATGATACTCTTAGTAATCATATAATGTTTGCTATTTTATAGAATGAGGAAGATTTTCTTTCCTTTCTATCTTACTTTGCTGTGCTGAGTCAAGAAATTATTATTAAGTATAAGTATTATTTGCAGTCATTGTGTTTGTGTAGTAAAAAAAATTAACTGAGCAAGTTAGATGACAGAACTATACTAAACATGTGAAACATACAATCTTAGCAAGTAGTACAAATTGTTTACCTGTAAAATTGTATCACTTCTGCATAAGAAGGTAGGAAAAGGCTGAGTCTATATTTACCTTGTGTCTTCACTGGATCTGATATCTGGCTTGGGTCACTAATTCCATATGCATTAGCTGCCCTCACAAGGAAAAGGTAAATCGCATTAGGTTTGAGTCCTTTAATGGCAAATGTTTCTGTTTTCACATTCTCTGCTACGGTCTGCCAGCTGCTACCAGATGCATGGCTAAGGATAGACACACAGGTTAGAACATGTTTATTTAATAGTGAAAAATGATAAAGAAGTAGAACTAGAGAAAATAATTTTCACTGTACCTGAAGGCTTCAATTATATAAGATGTTGGGGTTGCACCTGAATTCAAATTTGGTTGCCAGGACAAAGTTACTGTATTTCTGCTGACATCTGTAACTTCAGGCTTTGAGGGGGCACTAGGGATTAGATTTGGGTCAGTGGGTCTCGGAGGCTGAACTGGGACTCCAAATTCTAACAAAGAACAAAAGAATTTACAAAAAAGTGTTTACATAATATAGTAAATATATACACGTAGAGAATATATCTACATACCTAAGAAGCCATCAGGATACCCAATTAATCAATTTACCATTTTAAGAAATGCATTTAAAGGTAAAATTTTCTATTTACCTTGAACTTCAATGAATGCACTCCATGTTGCTTCGCCACTAGGGGTGGATGCGATGCAGGTATAGCGACCAGAGTCACCCAGCTGAGAAGAGAGAGGGAAAATAACTATTTGGAACAATCAAGAGCTCATTGGGCTAGAAAAGTAATTACAGGTTTGTATATGAGCCATGAATATAGATAACTGCATTAAAATTCTCTAACCAGAAACTTCCTCCTAATTGATATATTTCTATTGAATGTAAAAAAGGGGTAAAAAACTACATAACGATGGGAAAATCAATTTGTAAATAGTTATTTTCAATGTATAAAAATTTTGGTCAGTGTCAGTGTTATAAGGAATTATTAGGGTATGACCCTTGTTAAATCACAAGGGATATCTTTGTTATATCTTTGTATCTTCATATTTAAATTCATTAAGTCACATTATGAGAATACTTAATTTTTAACAATGATTCTGCTATTTTTTTATTTTATCTGAGCTATGCCTACATATACATCTGATACAAACAGGATTTTTTTTTTCATATTGATATTCTAGTTTTAATCATATGTCTAACTACATAGATCGAAAAAATGAGATAATGTATGAAAAAGAAAAGACTTCGTCTGTTAATTTTCCTCCTTTTCATCATTTAAGTTTTGTTTTTAACCTAAAATTTAAGGTTGATACTTATTAAGTAAACACATATCACAAACTCAACTTCAAAATCAGCAACAGCATACTAAAACCATCTAGGCTCTAACTTCAAGTAACATTAGATCAAGGAAGAATATTATCATCTTGCTCTGACAATTGGAATAACAAAGTCACAATAGTTGTCACAAAGAGTACAACATATTAACTTTTGAGACACATTAAGTGAACTGTTATCTGATCCAAAACTTCTAAGCAGCCACCCACAATAGGTATTACAGCAATGGAAATTTATGTTTACTGCTGTCAAGACTATTCTTTCATATGCTTCAGGAGCTTGTCTCATCTTGATCTATAAAGAGAAAGAAAAACAAAACAACCGAGTCTTGAAAGAACAGGCATAAGCTATGATGCCCTGGGAAAGTAAATTCCTAAATTGTTCCCACAAACCCGTGGGCTTTTCATCATTAATGGGCTGATTTGAAATGTATACCCAATGTATACAATGCATTATACCTTTTGTCTGTAGGTACAGTATCCTGGAACTCCAAGAGAACTACTGGAGAACAATGAACATAAAATGGTACTGGAAAATTTCTTGGGAAAAAAATCTTTTGTCAGATGACTGCATCACAGCACAACTTGAGGTCTTCTTTCCCAAATCCCCACCTATTTTCCTCAATTAATATGTCTTAGAAAGCTTTTTCTCCTTAATGGAGAACTGCAGACTACTTGCCATGGGCTAAACTGTGAGTGAAAGAGCATCTGAAATATACCTGGTGGAACATCTGAGAGAATAAAGTATCAAATTACAAATATATTCATACTGTTATTTAGCATTTCATTAATTTTAAAAGTTGAGATTTCAACACCAGCTGCTAGAGGCAAAAACAAAGTGGAACAAAACAGGAAGGCCAGGGTGCCATTTCCAGTTACCTTAGCGTAGCGGATCTGCAGCACGCCGCTCTCCAGTTGTCTGATTCGAGAATCCTGGGTGGAAACCAGGACTCCATCCTTTCTCCACAGAATTGTGGGCACCGGACTGCCTGTGGCCACACAGCTGAGGACTAACGTGCCATCCACCGCTACAGTCTGATTCACAGGGCCTTGGCGAATGACTGGGGGAGGCCGGTCCGCAATGACTGCCAGAAGAAATAGCAGGAAATAGGTTTCTGCAACTGGAAGCAATTTTCTAATCATCCAAGCAACAGCAGTTGCTCTAGGCTTTGAAACAAACTAAAGATAATTAAACAAGTAATTAAAATAGGAGCCATGCATTATTCAGAATGCATTTATATGATGATGTACTGACTCAGAATGTTAAAACGAGATACCCGGCACTGTTTCCAAGTGATCAACCACTGATTGAGCCTGCTATGTTTTCAATGAACTGGGTTAACTCAAGAGCTGAGGGACTGAAGGAAGATGAGGAGCTGTGAAGTCAATGTGCAGCTGTAAGAAGAAGATGTTTGATGTTTTAAAACTTTTACATATGGGGGGGGGGCACAACACCAAAGAACTCTTTTACCTCTAAGAGAAAAGATGAGTATAAAGTACAAAACAAGCTGATATTCTGAAATACTTTGTCCAGTAGACAAAATGATGTTACTATCCGAGCACAAATGACAAGCTCGGAGATACAAAAGCATTTTTGACTTTCCTAATTTTTAAGTCAATTATGACTGAGCTTCTTACCCTTGTTTAACCTTGTACTTCTGTGAAAAGATAAATTGTGGGAATTACCTAATCCTAATGAATTCAGTCTGCAGCACTGTGGTGTTTTGTATTGCTCTGATGTGTGTGTGACCACAATTTCAGCAGTATCCCACATACCAGCACAGTCACCCATGGTAAACAAGTGTTCACAAAACTTCTAGACTAAAGACTCAAAAGAAAAACTTACCACCTACTTCCAAAGTGAGTCACTGAAAACTCTATGGAACCCAAGAGAAAATTTTCCATTATTAGTACTGGATGATAGGCCACCCAATTTGGAAGACAGTTGCACCAAGAAGCTCAAAAATACCAATAATCATGAAGAAGATATAGATCTGGCAACAGTCTGGTCTGTTACACATAAGTTCTCTATTAGTTGGAGGTAACTAAAAACAAAAATAGTGAATTTACAGAAAGCTAAAAGGTAGCCAAACACATTGCTAGTAGGACAAGAGATAATTGAAGATAATGTAACTTAGTAAATATCATACTGTTGTTTTGAAATTAACAAAAGTGAGGAAATCACTTTGCAACACTGTAGCATCAAATAATGGTTTTAATATATATTGTTGTACAGGAAAAAGATGGACAATCTCCTACATTGTGATTTACAGTCTTTGAAAACCCACTGCAGGATCAGCTGTGATTTTGTTCCTACTAGACGGCGTTGAATAAGTGATTGAATGGAGGAAATAAAGACGCATTTTACTATATATAAATAAAACAATAATTATTATATGCATATAAAATTTAAAACTCAGTAACTTTATCCAATACAATAAAGCTACATTATAGAGCAAAATCCAGTTACAATGAAACTAGAATTCTTACACTAGAGCTTCGCATTACCTGAACCTGACATATTAGATAACTCCATAGATATTTTGTTCCTTAACAAATAAAAAAAAAATCGGAACTGCTTTTCAATCACGAAGCTCTAAAACTGGGTATTAATTAAAGGAGAAAGACATATAACCTTCCATTCTCCCAAAATTTGAAAAAAAATAAAATATTATAGGCAGTCACTTGATTAAAGAAAACTGGTTGCCAGAGCAACTAAATTTTGGGAGCAACAATTCACAGAGCTGGATGTGACATGTTCAACATTTTATGCACTAAAGCGTTTCACAAGTGGCAGTCACACTTCAATTTGTCTCTCATTTATCATGCAATAATTATTAGTTTTGTGCATTCAATCAAATAAAAATAGGGCAGCAAAGAAATAAAATCAGCAACTGTGCATTTTCAGTCTACTCTTCCAACTGTCTTCCACGCCTTGGTTACGACTGTGAAATTTCCTAATACCAGGGGGAGTCTTATAAGGCTGGCGTTTGAAACTTGGCAGGCATGTTACAGATACTCCATGGCTGAAAAATGTAAGCCAATATTTCTTTGCTTAGGTTTTCCTTTTATTAATCTTCTACATTATCTTCTGGAATTGGCTAAAATAAAATTAGAGGCCATGCCTGTAAAGTATGAATTTTTTTTAAAGGATGAAAATATTTTATTGCATTCAGATTTTTACAAAAGACTTTACCACCTGTGTTTCTTGATTAAGTAAATGAATGAATATTTATCTCCAGACATTAATTAAATTAGTAACAGAATGCTTCTCCATAAATGATTATAATCAAGTCCATTTTATAACTGAGTGGTTTACATTTGGCAGTCTTATTCAATTTAAAACAATTCACTATCTAAGGATTTATTCAATTTATATGCATTTACAATTCTTTGATACTTATACCATACTTAGCACTACTATCCTCCTTTGCAATTCAATCCAATCTATGCTCTCTCTGTCTGTCATTTATTTCTATGATGTGCACTGTGTGGTTAGTAAAATTGAAGAGAAAAGGGGGGCTGATAATCAGCTCCACCATCTGCCATGTGTCTTAGAAAATCTCTTTACATTTTCTAAGCCTCAGTTTTTTAATCTGTAAAATGAGAACAATAATTTTTTTTTGCTAATTAGCTCAGGAGACTGCTATTAGGATTTAAGTAGCGTAACAGAGATGTGCTTTTTTCACTGCAAGGAGGGAAGCATACATATGTTCTTTGATAATAATATTCATTCTTTTCTTAAAAAATGAACCGAAATAAGCTAATATGTGGAACAGAGTTAATACATTTAAGTGCTTGCTTAGAATATTTACACGCAGAAAAAGAAATATTTTGGTTTTATCTGAGATCTAAATAAAATACTTTGTAAAATGTTTGAATTTATACAAAACCATTATTACTAGGACATTTTCTACTTAAATAGAAATTTACATTCTACTGGAATTTTAGATTGAATTACTAGATGATGATAAAATGCAAAAAAAATGTCACAATAGAACCACAGTTCCACATGGTATTTAAATCTATGAGTTTGTCATCAGATAGGCAGAGTGCTTTAATGGGCATATCCTATACCTGTATTATTCAACAGAATACCAATAGCCACATGTTGGATTTAAAGTGCGGTAGTGAAACTAGAAAGGAGCGTTGGTAGCTTAAGGAGTAAAGAATTGTGCTAAAAGACTAAAGGCATTAAGTTAGAATCCACCAGCTGCTACACATAAGAAAGATGAGGAATCTCTTCCTGAGCAATTTCCAGACTTCAAAACAATAGGATCAATTGCAAGTGAGTCCTGTATCTACACCAATGACTGAACGGCTGAGTGAAACTAGAAGTATAGTTTGGTGGCGTTCTGTGCGCGACCTTCAGCACTCTTGGCCGACTGGCTTGGCGTGCTAGCCCAGGTTCCCCTCGACGCACACCGCGCGTGCCCCTGTCCCCGCCAAATTCAAGTTTAAATACCCTAGGTGGCAAGTGGCTGGTATACGAAAGTGTGAAGTTGTTTTTGTGTTGTTTTATTGTTTCAATTATTTCTCTGTTGCTATTAGCTATGTGCTCTGGGGACACACCCTCACCACTTTCACCTCCCATTTCCTCAACTGAAACATGGATATTGTCATTTTTATGTTAAAAATTCCTAGCTGAGTTGTCACTCACAAAAATAAGCACAGAATGATTTGAAGTAGTATAGGTAGAGTGTTGTTGTTGGTGGTGGTTGTTGTTGTTGTGCACTACCGAGTTGGAACCAACACATAGCTGATCCACCAGGTTTTCAGAGGCAGTAATTGCATGAGAGGAGATTTGCCATCCTTCTCCCATGGAGCAGCTGGTGGATTTGAAACAGTGCCTTCAGAATTGCATCACAGATTATTACCAGAAGGCCACCAGAACCCCTAGAATAGTGATGGTGGTTGTTGTTGTTGTTATGTGCTGTCAAGTTGCCTGCGACTCATAATGACCTAGAGCCCTAAACCCTGCTCTATCCTATGTCAATCCCATTGTCTCCAACACACCTACTCCCACTGCCCCAATCACACCATCGATCCATCTCATCAAGGGTCTGCTTCTTCTGTTCTGCACCTCCACTCTCCCAAACATGATGTCCTCTCCTTGCAACACGTCCAAAGTATATCAGACAAAGTTTCATAATCCTTGCCTACAAGGAGCAGGACAAACCTGTTTGTTCTCCTAGCAGTCCATGATATATTCAACACTTTCCTCCAGGACCATAGCTCAAAAGCGTCAATTCTCTTTCTATCATCCCTAGTCACTGTCTGGCTCTCCGAGGCATAGCACACAACTGAGAGGATTATAACCTGGATTAGGCACACCTTAGTCTCCAGCCTGACATCATTGCTCTTCTGTACTCTGGAGAGGTCCTTCACAGCTGACTTTCCCAATGCAATTCATATCTTGATTTCCTGGCTGCTGGTACCAAGAGTACTGACTGTGGAGCCAAGCAAACTAAAACGGTTAACTATCTCAATCTCTTCACCATCTATCACGATAAGCCAATTGGCCGAGTGGTGAGAATCTTTGTTTTCTTGATGTTAAGCTTCAATCCATATTGAATGCTGCAGTCCTTGACCTTCTGCAGCAAGCACTTCAGGTCCTCCTCAGTTTCAGCAAGCAGGGTTGTGTCATCTGCATAACGCAGATTGTTGATGAGTCTTCCTTAATCCTGATGCCACATTCCTCCTTTTACAGTTCTGTGTCCCGATGATCTGTTCTGCATGCACATTGAAAAGGTATGGAGACAGAATACATCCCTGCCGGACGCCCTTCCCAATTTTGAACCATGTAGTATCTCCTTGCTCTGTTAAGACAACTGTCTCTTGGTCCAAGTATAGATTTTGCATAAACACAATCAAATGTTCTGGGAATTCTTCCCAGAGTCAGCCACAGCTTGTTGTGATCCACATAGTCAAAAGCCTTTGCATAGTCAATGAAGCACAGATAGACATTCCTCTGATACTCTCTGCTTTCTGCTAAGATCCATCTTACATTAGCTATAATATCCCTGGTACCATGACCTCTTCTAAGCCCAGTCTACACATCTGGCAGTTCTCTGAAGACATATTGCTCCAGTCAATTTTGATAATTTTCAGCAGAATTTTCCTTGCATGTGATAATGATATTGTTCAATAATTTCCGCACTCTGTTGGATCACCTTTCTTTGAATGGGAACAAACATCGATCTCTTCCAGTCAGTTGGCCAGCTGGCTGTCCTCCAGATTTCTTGGCACAACTTAGTGAGCACATCCAGAACAGTGTCTGTTGAAATACGTCAATTGGTATGCTGTCAACTCCTGGAGCCTTGTTTTTTGTCAATTATTTCAGAGCAACTTGAACTTTCTCCTTCATCACCACAGACTCTGCTCCTAAGTTATTTCATGAAATTCTCATGTGTCAGCCAATTCCTCCTGATACGGTGACTCTGTATACTCCTTCCATCTTAAATTATAACAGTAGTTACATCTATGTAAATTGTATTTCCTCAGAGTCAAACAAAGATCTAAAGACATAAAATTATATGAGAATGCAGTGTTCTATCATCTCAAAAATAATATACTTTTTACCCCTACATCAGTCCCTTTCCATCCTCCCTCAATTATATACATACAGAGAGAGAGAGAGACAAAGAAAACTCTGGTGGCCTAGTGGCAAGAAACTGCACTGCAATCCCAAAGGCATGCGATTCAAGGCCATCAATTGCTCCATGGGAGAAGGATGGGCAATCTCCTCCTGTTCACTGCATGCCTCTGAAAACATGCTGGAAGGTCAGTATGGCACAGTTCTAACTCTATGGTACACAACAACAATTTATAAACAACACACAGACAAGATAATCTTGGTATCCATTACATACATAAATTCATCATGCTGTATTCATTTACTCTATGTATTTTACAATCATTATATACGTCACTTTACACAATGGAAGTAGAGTTACAGAGAAAAACCTCAACCTTTCTAGTAATAATATGGGATGTAATTAGGGGCAAGACAAAGAAGAGATGAGGAATTAGCAGGTAGTTAAAGCTGCAGATTATAGATGACAAAGACTGAGAGGTGTCACAAAGATGATAGCAATTTGATATGAAAGGTTGAGGAGCCAAGGAGGACTCTGTGGTTTCTGAGTCAGGAAGCAATTGCTATTATATTGAATACTTAAATTATTATCTAAGTAAAAAAAAAAAGAGGGGGTAAAGATCTCAAGCTGAGTGAATGTCTATAGCTAGCTTCTTTTACTCTTGTTTTCTCTTCTTTCGACCATCTATTTTCCTCCTTGAGAGACTCAACGTTCTTTTAAATTCTGTAACTTGAACTGAAAAATATTCTAATCACAGCAATAAATTAGTTTCTGGAAGAGACAAGCCCTTTACCATAATTATGATACACATTTAACCTTCAATTTGGAATTTTGTTTATGTATGTGTGTGTTCTTATATTCCATTTTTTTCTTTTCTAATTATGGCTACTCTATATTTTATGGGTGGAGAATTTCCTCCATCACTGTCACTGTTGTTGTTGTTGTTGTTGTTGTTGTTATGTGCCGTCGAGTCGTTTCCGACTCATAGCGACCCTATGCACAACAGTCCTAAACCCTGCTCTATCCTGCACCAACTGCACCGCCTCTGACACACCCATCCCGATTAATTGATCATGTTTAGGGAAGTGAATAAACAGAAAACATCTTAATATTAAAAAAATGTCCATTATACTGACTTGGATGTTGGAATTTGGATTTATAAGCAATTTATCAGAACTCCTTACTCCTTAATTTAGTGGAAAGAGAAAAAACATAACTCATACTGAGAAAATATAAAATAATTGGATTTGTCAAAGTATTGAAATATTTCTTTGTGAAACTAGTATTAACTTTTTTGGAAAACTGCTACAATTTTAAGATTCTTACTCATGTTATTGTACTCCTAAGTGAAAGAATAATTTTTTACTTCATTATTCTATCAACACTGTCTTCAACTTTATAGCAAAATAGTGGTAAGAAAAGACATAAAGTTGGAAATAAATCTTTCTACTGGCACTTTCTTTAGCCCTTGTATCAAAAAATTGTAAGTCTGAAGTAAAATGTTCTACTTTACCATCAGTTACTTCCAAGTATGCTTTTGTGATGATACTTCCAGCAACATTTAAAGTCTGGCAGATGTAATAACCAACATCAGATCGCTGGACATTAGTAATAGTGAGGTCACCAGTCTGGGAGACAGAGAATCGGCTAGATGACTGTGGTGGTTGATATGAGAAAAGCAGATTCTAAAATCCCAAATTTGGAAGAGAGGAGTAAAAATTGGTTAGGTTCAAATATTTTGTCATATATGACTATACATTTAAACAGATACACAAACACAAAAATTAAACACATTGAAGATCACACACGTGAAAAAAATTCTATCTAGGTTTAATAATCTAATCTTAAGTGACTATCATTGATAGTGCCATTGTAAAAATTAAAACAAATTCTAAATTCCACTATTTTTTCTATAACTATCAGTATTGAATCATAACTACAGAGAGAATAATTTAGAATACATCTCTATAAAACGTTTCATATATTTATCCAAAACAAGTTTAAAAGTTGTTGAACACATACATGCAATATATATGATTATGAGTATTGTGAACATTTTTACTTTTAATATATAAACAATGAATTTTAAACACGTTCTGACAAATGTAAGTTTAAATATACCATCTTGGCACCATAACAAGTATTTCTATTAGCTGTTCATCATTATCCATGTTCAATAACCTCTGTCAACTGTTAACACTTATTATATTTTCATGTTAAATTATGTGAATATCTATTACATATTTTTAAAATTTCTAGTACTGAATCTAATAGTTGATGAAGCTTTTGATGAATAACTGATTAAGCTTTATATTTTGGGGAGGTTATCATAAACAGAAGGAAGATCAAGAAGTGGTATTATTTTATGACTTCAGAAGAGGCTTCTGGGTCATTATGGAGATTGTATATTTACTTAAAAAGTAATGCAGCATGTCATAGACTTACTGGGAATAAAGAATATCAACTTTTGTTTTTCTAACTGAAAAAAAAGTTTCTTCTTTAAAAAATTAGGTGCCTACCCTGCACACTGTTTCACTATGATCAACAAAAACATGCCCAATGATGTAAGAAAAAAAAACAAACAAAACTTGGTTAGTAAAGCTTAAGTACATGATTTGTAAACTTGACATAAAATATAAACCTGATAAAGGTTAGCTATGAGTCTGTTCCAATTCATGGATTCAGAGCAACAACAAGCAATATTAAACATTATATAAATAATAAAGAGAATATAATATTTGATGGTCCTGAAGGCAAGTTAAGAATCATGATGCTTACAGAGAAATCACACTGAATAGTTATTTCTTTTCAGTATACATAACTATCAGATGATACATAATTCTAATACTTGATAATCAGAAATAATAATTGTGTTGAGTAAAGAAAATAGTTGGGTTGTTTATACATAGCTCAATTAGAAGTGAACTTAAAACTACAAGATTAAACAAAAACATTGTTCCATACACCATCCAGCGGACTGAAACCAAACCAGAAAAATGATTTTGAGGGTTAGAACAATGAAGAACAGTTTCTATCTTATTGATAATTTTTTCTAAGGCAGTCAGAGTTTTCTCAGTTCTTCCAGTGTCAAGATATTATCACTACATAATATATCTTTGTTTATTAAAATACAAATAGGAAAAGAGGTCATACCTGACTTCCTTCTCTCCTCCAAAAAATAGCAGGCTGAGGGTTTCCAGTTGCTTCACACTGGAAAGTTACAGTTCGTCCCAAGGCAACAACTTGGTCTCTGGGTTTGACAACAAAATGTGGAGGTTCTAAAGGACAAGATACAAATTACACTGAATCAAACACATATAGTTATGTTCCTAATTGAGACAATGTGCTGATAACCCAAATGCCAATTTTATTTTACACAACATGTTATGCACGATAGTATAAAATATGCTAATTCCCATCCTTAATTTGACACGAAATTATTAAATACATATTTATGGAAGGGAATATAGTTGCTTCATGAAGAGGTTTTATTACCTGACCTTGGAAGATTAACCTCTGTGTTAGAAAGAATTCTTGAGTTAAAATTTGCTCCTTCGCATTTAAAGTATATGTGAATCTGTATGAATAAATATTATTTTTGCTCATTTAGAGCTGCTTAAAGGTGAATGGACTTGAATCATACACACAAGGGTCTCCTGATGCAGACAGGTTCTAAAATGACTTTAATTTAACTCAAAAGCTCCTGAAATGCTACCATGCAAATTATAACAATTTAAAATCTTCAGTCCAATTATTTGAATAGGAATGAATTTAAAAGCAACAGTGGAGTGGAAAGCCTCCTTCATTTACATAGGCAAGGGCATGTTCAAACGGAATATATATGGAAATGAAGGCAAATTTGAAACATCTGCTCATCCTGACATTATAAATACTGCCAGCTTTGTCCAAACTGTTTGATTTATACAGACTTAAATGGCCACTTCATCCGGCAGTAAATAGTGTGTCAGAAAATTGTGTCAGTTACACTGAGAGCAATGGCAGCTGAAAACATTAGGTGGGCTGATGGAGCAACCACTGAGAGGATAGTAAAAAAGCTTGTTTGGAGGCTGGGCCTTATGCTGAGGAAAATGTGTACTGAATGTTAGTCTTTTTACCTATTGTTTACACTTTTCTGATTCATTTCTTATCAGCTGTCTGAAGCACCTAATTATTCTTCTCCCCTGTCTCCATTCAGATTGAAGTGAGTGTTTCAAGTCAGACATTTAACAGTATTTAACAGACAGGATCCTTCTAATCTACTTTTTAAAGCTTTTCCATTATTTCTAACCTTTGCTTTTAAAGGAAGCTTTAGTTACTTATGTCAGACACTTAGGTAATGTCTTAAAATTAATATAAACCCAAAATCATATTCTACCTATGCTCACGAATCATAAATGCCACCACTCTGCTCACAAGGATATTATTTCTTAATGAATTGCTAAAAAGTATAATTCTCTTTTCTTAAAATCCCCTGATACATACCTATCTGTACATCTATCTAGTATGCGTGTGTTCTTACTGTAGGTATTTGATGTTCATATACATTGAACATTAAGATAATTGAATACACTGGTTATTATACATATTAAAAAATTCACTCATTTACTGCTGTTGAGTCAGAACTAACTCATAGCTGACCCTCTGGAGGGTTTTTAGAGGCCGTAAATAACATGGAAGGAGACTGCCAACCTTTCTCCCATAGAGTCAGTGCTGTATTCAAATCCCTAGTCTTTGGCTGGCAGGGTAACTCCTGATCCACTAGACCATAGTGGGGGCAAGGGGCGGGGTGGTTGGAGTGGGGAGAGGACACAACAAACTAAGATTATATAGCAGCAAAGACGAAGAAAGCAATTAGGACTTCTAACTTCTATATTAGTGTACTGGCTTCTAAACCTCCATTTTATTGAGGCTTAGTAGAAATTACACTATTTGACTAGAAAATTATAGGAGATCTGAAAAATCAGGTCAACTGCTTTCCACTATCCTATAACTTACAAAGGAGAAAATGCAAAGTTAGAGGATATAGTTTGGGACCAATTCAGTAATGATGAAGTGCTAGCTTGTAATTTTTTTAAGAACTGTGATTGTAATTGAGTGGTGTGCTCATGAATTTAGCAAACACTGTCATTATGCAGGTATAATAATAGGCATGTGAATCATTGCTTGGGATTTCCCCAAGTACAGAGACATACATGAGCACTCAATTTCTTATTTAAGGTCTGGAATAATTGACATGGAAATCAGACCTAAAAAATGAAAGGACATTGCCTGAATAATAAAATAATCCAGAATAGGGTTCGGTTTATGTCAATGAAAGAAAACCAAAAGATTAATTAAATAAATGTGAATATATGACTTTCCAATAGGCAGGGATCTGAGTAGGAAAATATAAATGCTCAAACCACTTAGTCCTGTAAAAACTTTGGGTGGTCTCTTTCCTAAATCTCAGAAGCATGTCTAATAACATGGGCCAGAATCTCCATTTCTTTAATAAAATGCCAACTCTCCTCAAACCTCAAAGACTTATTTTGGAAAGAGGGTTACAAATCCTTATGCTAACTATATTCATCCTGCAGCAATTCTTCCACACAGGATATTTGTCTGGAAATGAATTTACTGCATTTTGTAGGCATATTATTGAGCCAACATCAACAGTGACATCAGTTATAAGATATGAGAAAAGTACCATTAAAAAAAAAACCCACTTTTCTTCATGTATGCAATGTAGTTATATATATTTTAGGAGAAAAAGTCATGCTAACTAAAGATAGCTCTCTCTCAAGTAATCAATTATCTACCTGTCTATGTTGAGAAGGTCACAGAGAATATGTACCTACCTTTTTTTTACATAATATATTTGAATACTTTTGAAAGTTACAGCACTTCTAATGTGGTATGATTAAAACAATATAAACATATTCAATCATATGTGGTCAGTGCTAAAACTTTGGACAAGTTGGAAATGCATAGAGGGGCAATAAAAGATAAAGCTACTCATAATGGTACCATGCACACTAGATGGTAATTTTAAAAAATATCCTTCTATAATTTTGCTGAATATCTAATAATGCATGTAGAGATCACTCTTTTTCACCCATTCCTATTATTTTAAACTTAGAGTGTTTGTAATTATTGCCACTGAAAATAGCAATAACATTAGCATTCTTCTGATACACATACTCAAAATCATTACCTTGAGGTACAGGTCCAAGGTTAGAGAAAATATAACTATCTAGAGTATGTAAGACAACTATACTAAAGTTATAATTTAGCTCAACATTTCATTGATAATACATGTTATGAATTTTTCTTTGTAATATTTAGAAGAGAAATTTTATTCCTTTCTCATATATGCTGTAAACACATTGTTCTAATTTGTCAACAATCTTTTCTTAATGTTTAGGCATTTTTGCTATTGTACCTTAATGTGATTATTTAAAATGCATGTCTCAGCCCAGTTACATAGTTCACCTCTACTTCTACCCTGTCCTTCATGAGTATTTAAAAAATTTTTACAATGAAATTTTATTCCAACTCTTTTTCTGTATTTAAAAGAAGCTATTTTTTTTTAATGGCTAATTATTACAGGCCATGGTCTTTGCTATCACTTGTTATGCATCAGAGAGTTGGACAATGACTAGGGAAGATAGAAGGAGAATTGATGCCTTTGAACTGTGGTGCTGGAGAAGAGTGTTGAGGGTATCATGGACTGTTAGGAAAACAAACAGATTCATCCTGGAAAGGGTCAAACCGGGCTGCTCCTTGGAGGCAAGGATTCTAAGGCTCCATCCAACATACTTTGGACATGTTGCAAGGAGGGACAGGTCCTTGGAGAGGGACAGCATGCTTGGCAGGGTGGAGGGACAGCGCAGAGGGGGAAGGCCCCCTATGAGGTGGATTGATTCAGTGACTGGGGTAATCAGTACAGGTGTGTCGGAGATGGTGCGATTGGCACAGGACAGAGCAGAGTGTAGGGATGTTGTACATAGGGTCGTTATGAGTTGCAAGTGACTCGATGGCACATAACAACAACAATTATCACGTCAACATTTCTGAAGAATACAAGATATCTGTATATCAAGTTATCACTTCCAAAATACATAATTTTTTTAACTTAATGACTAGCAAAACCAGTTGTTACAAGGCCAAACTATTTCCTAGCACCACTCAACAAATGTATACAAATTTTCTCCAAAAGGTTATTTAGTAATATGAAAAAGTGAATGGACCTTCCCAAGTTTCTGATCATAAAAATGCTTAAAAATTGATAGTTCTTTATTTGCATGGGGACAAAAATGTCTCAAAGCAAATTTTAATGTACTTTTGATATAGTTTATGATTATTTCTTACATAAAATGGAATGGCTGTGACACAGACATGGAAATGAGTGAAAACAGCCCCAGATACCGTTAACAACTACTCTTGAACAGTAGATGCCCAAAACTCAGATAGATAGATGGACATGAATTTCTAAACATATTTTGTGGGGAGGAAAAAGCCCCAAGTGGTTTTCTTAAAGTACTGCTGTTTTGTTGTTGTAGATGGTGGTGGTTGATTTTTTTACATATATTAATTGACTTAGTAAATTATAAAATTACGTCCAATCACTTTTTTTACTATCTATTTAAAAGGTGAAGAGTGAAGAAACAGAAGGATGCAGATGATAAATTACTTAATAAGACATAAGTTAGCAACCCCATTACCTTTCCTCTTTGTCACAGTTACCCATACTTCCTGCAGACTTTATTCTGTGCAGTCTGTCTTTGTAGCCAATGACAAGTGAAACATGGAGGCTGACTGGTTGAAGGACATAGAAGGGTATGGATGGAAAGGGGAAGAGAAGTTCCAGTCACAGTGACACGGTGATTAGAAGATGGCCAATAAAATGTCAACTTACCAGACCCAACTAAAACAAAACAAAAAGAAAACATGGAATAAATAAAAATAAAGAAACATAAAACAAAACAAAAATGTAGTAAAATTGACTTAACAATGATTTTGCTTTAAAAATAAAGAACACATTAATATTTGAACATACGACTCATATTGTCTATGGATGAATATTTGTTAGCATTTTGAGTAGTGTCATGAATAATTATTAAAAAATAGAAATGAGTTTTAAAATCTAGAATGATTAAATGACAGGGTTATAATGAATGAAAGCTATGAACATTTTTCAGTGACTGTATTTATTACTACTAGATGACAGAGTTAGACAAGCGTATGTATGGGCTTAAAACACTATAAATCTTAGCTGCTAATGCTACATTAGAAACTAAAATTAAGCACCTTAATGAAAGATACAAAATGGTTAAATCCCACAACTTCTCTACAAGGTTAATGTTTAAAAGGTTCATCCTGCCAATGATCTTCTACTTAGTCAATACGTCTGAAATTAAACATGAATACAAATCACCAGTATTCTGATTAGAATAGAGATACAGATTCCATTGATCAGGGGCAGGGCTTGAAATTTTGCAAATTCAAAATGAAACCAGGTAATGCCAGACACCACCAGCGCTATGATTACAAACTGAATAGGGCAAGGTTATTAAAAGGTACGACATTTAAATTCTTGTACATTTTTAAATGAGAAGGTGCATAGAAACAATATGAATAAATTATAAAGACAGATGACTTTATAGTCCTATCTATAATCTTATTTACATACCTTCTTCAATGCTAAAGCACTGGACATTTTAATATAGTAAGCACAACGCATATATTTAACATACTGCTAAGTGATTGTTTTGTTTCTATATTTAGAAACAAAGGCAGAAAGTTACTATCCAACACAGAATATTTTGTTAGTAGCCTAGCAGACATTGACAAGAGATTTTACCCAAGGAAATAATTCTTTCAAGTAAATAATAACTTTCAACAAGTTTAATATAAATTTCTATCGCTAAAGCACGACAAAGACCAGAAAATTAAAAAGAAGACTGCCTGCTCATTGCTACCACATATCCAATAATTAAGTCACTAAGAAACATTACAATTTCCTTAAAAATCACTGACAATTTTCTCTTTCTCTGTAAAGAAGGACTAATTAAGTATAATTTTTTTACTCACTTCAGAAAACTTTAAAATAAAAATATCTTTCATTTAGTCTAAATAATTGTGTTGATTTGTATTTTGTTTTTAACAGCTCAACAACTTATTACTGTGATCCATAGTTGACCCTCCAACAGGTTTTCAGAGGCTACAAATCACACAGGAAGAGACTGCCCCCTCTCTCCTGGAACAGCTGGAGAATTCAGTAGCTGGAGGAGACCAACCTTTGGGTTGGCAGTGCAACTCCTTAACCACTGAGCCAAAATTATTTGTTTTACTTAGATTCCAAGATGAAAATGGAGAAGATAGGTTAAACAGTAGATGCCTTTGATACTTTCACAATGTCTTTAAAACAGCAGGAAAAGTTATTTATAAATGACAAGTGAGGTTACCAGACTGTAAATGTAGTGCAAAAGTGTAAGGAACCTTGGTGGCTCAGTGCTTAAGTACTGACTTTTTAACTGCAAGACTTGAACTTGCTAATTGCCAGCCACTGTCAGAGCAGAAAGAGAAAAGTCTGATCCAATAATGATTTTTATCTTAGGAACTCCACAGGACAGTACTTATTTGGTCTTGCAGGGTGATTATTATCTGGAATCAACCCTATGACCATGAGGATTTGTTTTAGGTTTTGGGTGGGTTTGCTTTGTTGTAGTTTTGTTTTTTGGTTGTTTTTTTTTAATGACACTGTCAGAGATTTTAGCTAAACTAAGGAAATCTGATTTCTTTTTGTTCCAAAAGAGAACTCCACAATTGATCTGAAAGTATAAAGAAGTCTGGTGGGATAATCTGTACAAAGCTGTGCTTCTAAGCCAGAAGATGTGCCTCTCTGTGCATTCAAATCTGCCAGCAGCTCTGTGGGATAAAGATGAGAATGAGTGATATTAATGAAAATTAAGATTGATCCAATGGCTTAAAGAGCTGATGATGCAAAATGATGTCTAGCTTGGCTGCTAACGGAATGACTAGTGGTGCAAGTCCACACAGATGTGCCACCAGAGGAAGGATTGATGACTGACTGTTAAAACAAGGCATGAAATAAACATTATAGGAAGCACAGTCCTACTGTGACACACATGGGCCCCAGGAGTTAGTATTAACTTGCCAGCAATTTTATATTATCACAAGATGAAAGACATTAGTCTGCACTATTTCTCAGTCATGATTTTTAGAAGCTTAAAACTTTTTAATATTTCAAAAGTATCTTACATATTAGATGTATGAAAACATATCTCTGAGTCATTATTGTTTTGTTTACAAACAAAAATAGGTGTGGAACTTTTATATTAAGATCGAACAACACATAAAAGTTTAGACTAATGTATTTATATATTATATAGAAAGCAAATTATATTTGAAAGATAATTTTTAGTTTGTTGTTGTTGTTATGTGCCATTGAGTCACTTGCAACTCATAGCAACCCTATGTGCAAGAGCCCTAAACCCTGCTCTGATCTTGTGCCAACCTTATGGTCTTTGACACACCTACTCCCAATTGCCCCAGTGACTAGATCAATCTATCTAATCTAGGGTCTTTGTCTCTTGCGCTGTCCCTATACCCACACAAGCATGATGTCTCTCTCCAAGGACTGATCCCACCTTGCAACATGTCCAAAGTATGTCAGATAAAGCTTCAGAATCCTTGCCTCCAAAAAGCAGCCTGGTATCACCTTCTCCAGGATGAACCTGTTTGTTGTCCTGGCAGTCCATGGAATATTCAACACTCTTCTCTAGCACCACAGCTCAAAGGTATCAATTCTTTCCATCATCCCTAATCATTATCCAGTTCTCTGATGCATAGCAAGCAATTGCCTGGATTAGGGACACCTCAGCCTCTAGCCTGATGTCACTGCTCTTTAGTTCTTTGGAAAGGTCCCTGACAGCCAACTTTTCCCAGTGCAATTCAGCTTCTGATTTCCTGGCTGCTGGTACCAAGAGTGTTGACTGTGGAGCCAAGCAAACTAAAGCTGTTTACAATCTCAAATCTCTTCACCATCCATCACGATGCTGCCAACTGGCCCAGTGGTGAGAATCTTTGTTTCCTTGATGTTGAGTTTCAATCCATATTAAAGGTTGCAGTTTTTTTGCAGCAAGCGCTTCAGGTCCTCCTCAGTTTCAGCAAGCAGGTAGTGTCATCTGCATAACGCAGATTGTTGATGAGTCTTCCTTCAATCCTGATGCCACATTTCTCCTCATAGAGTCCAGCCTCCCAGGTAATCTATTTTCCATATAGATTGGAAAGGTGTGGAGATAGGACACATCTCTCCTGTACACACTTCCCAGTTTTGAACTATGCAGTGTCCCCTTGCTCTGTTCTGACAACTGACTCATGGTCCAAGTACAGGTTTTGCATAAGCACAATTAAATGTTCTGGGATTCCCATTTTTCTCACAGTCAGCCACAGTTTGTTGTGATCTACACAGTCAAATGCCTTTGCTTAGTCACTGAAGCACAGATATACATTCCTCTGGTATTCCCTGCTTTCAGCCGAGATCCATCTAACATTAGCTACAATATCCCTAGTACCACGAACTCTTCTAAAACCAGCCTACACTTCTGTCAGTTCTCTGCTGATGTGCTGTTCCAGTCATTTGTGGATAATCTTCAGGCTTTTTATAACCATTTTTATCAGGAAATTATTTCTCTTATCTAAATGAAACCTTGATGGTCAAAATTTAACTCTATTTTAATCTGTTCTTGTTTCAACAAACACAAAAATGCCAAGAATAGTCTCCACTTTTACTCACTACAAGGAAATGATCACACCTAACTTTCTTTTAGATAAAGACATGATAACAAATCTTTTAAGTTATTTTTGTATTTCCCCTTGGCCTAGTGGTAGTGCTGCAATCCCAAAGACACATAGTTCATATTAAGAGCTGCTCCAAGAGGGAAGGATGGACTATCTCTTCTTGTAGGATTTACTGCCTCTGAAAACCTGATATATGGTTAGCGATGAGTCAAGTCGGCTCCAACTTGAAAGCACACAACAGTAACATACATTTCTCCAGTGAGCTCTGATGGCTTAGTGGTAAGGAACTGCACTGCCAACCCAAAGGTACACGGTTTGAAACCATCAGCTGCTGCACAGGATAAAGACAGGCAATATCCTGTGTGATTTACTGTCTCTGAAAACCCACTAGAGCATCACTGCTTTGTAGGTTCTGACTCGATGGCACACAATAACAACATACATTTCTCCTAGGAGCTCTGGTGGTGTCATCCACAGGCAGATGTGCGCTTACCCAAAGACAACAACTTTCTGCTAGTTTGAATCCACCAGTGGTTAGTGGGAGAAAGATAAGCAATCTCCTTCTATGTCATTTACAGCCTCCAAAAACCCCAATGGAGGGTCAGCAATGAGTTAATCCTGCCTTGATAACAATGAGAGTACATATTTCTCTACAGTTCAAGTCAAAGAACTTCTTTCCCCACTTGTAAAACTGGAACCTGTCTGTAGCAGGTAATGTCCAGTACTGCCCAGTTGCATGCGCCCAGAAAGGAAAGAAGAAGAGAAAGCAGACATGATCCTATATATTCATTCTCCACAGAGCTCTCTGTGTGTGCCTAGCTTCACTCCCACTCTCCCAATCATTCTTCTCAACTTGTTTCCTTTCCACCTTTAAGGCCCACAGCACACTAACTCATTTCTCTTAGGAAAGAGAAAAATCATCTCTGTTTCTATCTCTTCTAATAAAACAATAAAACCATAAAAACGTTAGAGCCAGAAGTGACCTTAGCATTTATCAGTCTAGCCACTCTGTTTTAAACACAAGAGAACCTAACTGTTAAGTAACTGTCTCAAGGTCACAGATGACTAACCAAGGTCTGGCATCCAGTTCTCTCCACTAAA